GTCACATACTTCGATGTTCTTTGTATTACTGACCATTGTTTTCCTCGAAGCCGGTTTAATCATGTAGACTCCTCTTGAAAGGTTTGTCATCATCATCATCATTTCTCGTCGCGCCAGTGGGCGCATAAGGCCGTCACGCTTTCCGACCAACACTCCCTGTTTCGTGCCACCGCTTTGGCTACTTCCCAGCTCTTCCACCCCGCCTTATTTCTTTCCTTCTCCACCGGAAAGAAACAGGGCGGGGTGGAAGAGCTGGGAAGTAGCCAAAACGGCCAGCTTTTCCTTCCAACTGTACCCGTGAGTATAACGGGAAGATTGGAAATTAAATCACTTGTTGTAAACACAAAATGGCCGTGGCATTTATCAATCTTTCCTTGGCTTACCGAATCACCGTTTACTGTTCATACATGTATGTGTGCCGAGAGTTGTCCAAAAGAGTGCTTCTACAAACCNTTCCTCGAAGCCGGTTTAATTATGTAGCCTCCTCTTGAAAGGTTTGTAGAAGCACTCTTTTGGACAACTCTCGGTACACATACATGTATGAACAGTAAACGGTGATTCGGGAAGCCAAGGGATTGATAAATGCCACGACCATTTTGTGTTTACAACAAGTGATTTAGTTCCCAATCTTCCCGTTATACTCAAGGGAAGATTGGGAACTAAATCGCTTGTTGTAAACACAAAATGGCCGTGGCATTTATGACCATTTATCAATCCTTCCTTAGCTTCCCGAATCACCGTTTACTGTTCACACATGTATGTGTACCGAGAGTTGTCCAAAAGAGTGCTTCTACAAACCTTTCAAGAGGAGTCTACATGATTAAACCGGCTTCGAGGAAAACAATGGTCAGTAATACAAAGAACATCGAAGTATGTGACGGTCACGCTCGACACAGATGTGGAACGCATAAACCTACTTTATATACAAACCTACAGTTGGATGGAAAAGCTGGCAGTTTTAATGCTACCTAGGTTTCAAGGATCGCTACAAAGGACCAAAACTTTAATCTTGNTGGCACCTGTTTGAAACCGCTGAACTACATGAATAGAAAGTATAAATGTCCCTTAATTTAAAACAATAATAAAATTTGTCTGCCCACAAGGTTTTCAAAACTGACGACCGCTTAAAGTTCCCGTAAGTAATAACGGGAAGATTGGGAACTAAATCACTTGTTGGAAACACAAAATGGCCGTGGCATTTATCAATTCTTCCTTGGCTTCCCGAATCACCGTTTACTGTTCATATATGTATGTGTGCCAAGAGTTGTCCAAAAGAGTGCTTCTATAAACCTTTCAAGAGGAGTCTACATGATTAAACCGGCTTCGAGGAAAACAATGGTCAGTAATACATAGAACATCGAAGTATGTGACTGTCACGCTCGACACAGATGAGGAACGTATAATTCTATTTTATATACAAACCTACAGTTGGAAGGAAAAGCTGGCAGTTTTAATGCTACCCAGGTTTCAAGGATCGCTACAAAGGACCAAAACTTTAATCTTGAAGCCAGGTAAGAGATTTACGGGAATTTATCGGAGCACTTTTCGAAGGCGAGTGTGTTAGTTACTCACTGGAATATTTTCAAAATTTCCCGAACTTTAAGCTCATTTCCAGCGCTCAACTTACTATGTTTGTGATTAAAATTAAAACCACTTCTACCTAAAATTACAATACCTTCATACGAATTAAAAAACAAAAACAAAAACAAAAACAAAAGAAAAACAAAACAAAGTTTAAAAATAAAAGAGGTCAACACCCGTGGAAACCAATCGTTCTTGTCAGGTTCTGTTGCGGAGTCAGGAAAATGTCACTGACAACAAAATCCTTTCTTTTCTTTTGTCTGAAATAAATGTAATTGCTTTTTTTCATTTTTCAGCATACTTCAGTTAGCAATTGGCATTATCCTTTGACGGTTACCAACTGGATAAATATATGTCAATAAAAAACCTCACATATGACGTAAAATAACGTAATTGCGACTGGCATAAAGATATATCTAATATGACAGATGGAAGTTGTGCAGTTATAAAAAAATAAGTGGTACTTTTAATTTGGAAAATGTCTGAAATCATTATTTGTGCTTTATTTGTCATGTAGGTCATTGAATGGCAGCTAAAAAGCTGATTTCCTTTGCTTCTCAATCCTCTGATTTTAAATCTTCGCTTGGTGCCGTCCAGCGAAACATTTGGCTATAAGAATAACGACGGTGGTTTAGCTAACTAGACTTTGTGAGCCATGAATTGTTTTCCTGACTGTAGAACCTTGTTTGTGCCTTTTAAAAATCGATGATGCAAATGTCTATATATTGATTAACTAAATTAATTAAATGTCAATAATACATCCGTAAAGATGCCATAGCAAACATATTCGTTACCACACATACAGTAAGAACCCAGGAGTTATGCTTTGACGGATTGAAACTTCGTTTACCACTCTTTATCAAATGTCGCGTGAATATTGGTGTCACTCAAATGCTCCATCAAGTTGTGATTATCTTCATGTCAGAGTGGAGTACCACAGCAACAGCATAACGTGTTAGAAACACCCTTTATTTTAGCTTAAAATACTTATGCAAAAACTCAAAAGCGGCTCCGTGACTCACACACTCTTTACTGGGGAATTGTACAAGTTAGAATGATACGATACAGCTTCAACTTTAAAAAAAAAATGCTTTCGGAGCCACCTTAGTTTTTCGAAAATGTAAGGTGAATAACCATAAAGAACGTACGTCTGTTTATAGCCACAGAGAATCCAACGACAGAACAGAAATTTCAAATTTTTGTTTTATTTCATCAAAAAGGCCCTTTTCGTAAGCTATTTAAAAAAAAAAGAATTTAAAGTTAAAGGAAGTTCAAAGTTTTGTCAAATCTAGGAATGTTCGAAAAACCACCCAACTCATCCAGACGGTCGATTAAATTTATTTAAAACAAATCTAGCGATGAAAACGCGTTGTTTTCTTTTCTGTGAACACCGAGAGAGTTCTGACTATTTTTTAGCCGTATCTTAAGTGCAAATATATCTCAAATAGCGATCAGCGTTGATTGTTTCTACAGCTATATCATCAGTGTTGTTAAAAAGAGCGATCTTAGAATAAGTGATTATTCTGAGTAAAGATATTGTTTGCATGGGGTACAATGGGAAACAAAGCCGGAGATTATCCAAGTTTCTCTAGCATTGTGACTAGGAATATTTCTGCTTCCCCCTGGATGGGATGCTAGTCCATTGCGGGGTCATCCCCCAGAATTAAATTTGCCTGTACTCACTCATGATCATAGATCTAGGTGGAGGGAGGCATTGCTAGAGCAAGGTGTCTTGCTCAAGAACATACCATGGAGCCAGAATAGCTCGATTCGGTTTCCACCGAGCTAACCATTAGGATGCTGCATCTCTCTCAGATCATCAGATTAAGTACACGGGCTCATTTTGCTCCAATCTGCAAAAATTTAATCCTATAGTAGACCAACACACAAGGTTAACTCCAGCATTAAATCCGCCGGCACCCATTTATACATAAAGGCTGACAGAGGCTTTGTGAGGGCAAAGTGTCCTACACTGGAACAAAGCAACGAACCTGGATCACTCGAGAGCGCTAACCGTTAGGACTACTGCATCTTGCTGAATTCATCACTGAACACGCATGAGATCATTTTGCTAGAGTTCTTGAAAAGTGTAACATTGAATCCAACGTTAAGCTGCACTTTTACTAACGCTTCACATAGTAAGGAAGCAAAGCAAATTCTTCGAAGGCGAGCAAAAATCAGGACTCCTTTATTTTGTGACTAAAACGGAAATTCTCTCTATCATACCACTCATAAACCGACATGAGTATTCAAAATATTGGTATGCTCAACATCTTTGAGTCATCGTCTAGCATGATCACCGATATTCCGACGCAAATTAATTTTGTATGTGTCTACTTCGCAGAGTCCTGTTGTCAACTTTCCAAAAGTCTTTTCTGAAAGGAAAAATGATTGGAAAGAAAATTTACATATACGTTCTGCCATCAAAAATTGCCTACATGACAGCATGATGGGTCAAGTATTTGTAAACAACAGACTTTGTATGACTGATGCTACGTTTAAGAGAGGGCGTTGGAACTTTTCATGCAGCTAAAGCTGGATATCAGCGAATAAAACAAAAGGCCGAAGATGTTCTGTGTATAGTTGATATACAGACTTAAAGATAATTGTAAAAATATATGTAGTGCACTCAAATGTTTCCCCCACTTTATTGATTTTAGTGCCGCAAAAAGTAATTTTACATTTTATGATCATGAAAGATAAACTGTAATCGAATCGTGTTTTTTTAGTCCCTCCACAAATACTCTTCGCGTATTGTCGAATATTTAAAATAAAAGTTCTGAAACAAAAGTGGCCACCTGGTGTGGAAACCAATCATTTTTGTCAAGTTCTGTTGAGGAGACAGCAAAATGTCATTGACTTCAAGAACCTTTCTCTTTTTTTGTCTGATAAAAATGTAATTAATTTTTCTCATTTTGCAGCATAGTTCAATACTAATATATTTTTTAGCAACTGGCATTATCCTTTGACGGTTACCAACTGAACAAATATCTGTAAAAAAAAAAATCATATATATAACTAATTTCTGATCGCCACGAAATAATTAAGAATTCAAAATTCTTTGCAATGTCGACGTGATGGATCTCAACAACGGAACGAACACGACCCAAGAACTGTTCTGCTACGGAACACAAGCAAGCATCTTAGTTGTCAACCCAAAGATTTTGATGGCATTGATGGTTGTTAACACCTTTATCTCCATAACGGCTACGATTGGAAATTTGTTGGTTCTCGTGACAATATGGCGAAGTCCAAATTTGCACTCTCCTTCGAACACATTGCTGTTCGGCCTGGCTTTGTCTGATCTGTGTGTTGGGATAGTATCTGAGCCACTGCACGTTGGATTTCAAGCTGTACTTTTCAATGATTCTAGCAAAATTACCTCCTGTACACTTACGAAAGTACGGAATTTAATATCTGTCTTTCTAACAGTAGTCACCCTGTTAACTGTAACAGCAATGAGCGTTGATCGCTATCTAGCGATATATCTGCACCTGAGATATGAACAAGTGGTCACAGAAAAGACAACGAGGAAAGTCCTTTTATGCCTTTGGTTGATAAGCAGCCTGCCCTTAGTCATGATGGCTTTTGATACTATGGCTATGACTAGTTATTTAGTTATGGCACTTATAATAGCAGTTTGCCTTGCAATTATTTCGTTTTCTTGGATCAAGATTTACCAAGTTGTTCGACATCACCAAGCTCAGATTCAAGATCAGATGGCTGTTGCTTCGCAATCATTTAACATGGCGAGATTCAGAAATTCTGCCGTAAACACTATGCTCGTGTTAGTAGTCGTTCTTGTGTGCTATACTCCATTTCTTGTTTCTAAAATTTTTCTCACTGTCGACTTAAATCCTTCAAGTGTTCTATTTGTCGAGATTACCTATGTATTTGTGCTCTTAAATTCTTCGCTAAACCCATTCGTGTATTTTTGGCGTCAGCGTGATCTTCGTGCACAAGCTAAGCAACTTGCGATGACGTTTCGCTGTCAAACACAGTAACAATGAGAGCCCTGCCAAAAAGAGGATATTGTCCTATTCAAAATAAATGGTTGAAACAGTAAAGAAATTGGTGATTGAGGTGACTAAAAAAACGTCTGATGGGATGAGATTCTTTTCACATAGAAATGATGGAGTGTACAGTCCACAAAACAATATGGATCTTGCGCACACTCAGATTGGTTCTGAAAGAGCTTTGTTTATCCCTGGTCGAACAACCAAACTCACACCCCCACTGTGGTACAAGAGGGAGGCGTAGGTGGACTTCACTTAGATTTTCGTCGTTATTAGAAATGTACATTTTTTTCAATAAATAATTGTGTGGTTTTCTGATACCATGATTTTAGCATCAACTGATAAAGAGAGGTTATAATGGCCAATCAAAATTTAAGTCTTACAAAGAGCTGGAAACTGTTTTGAGCTACCTTAGGTGATTCCTTAGAATTGCACTGCGCATTCCAACTGCGCACGATTTTCACGTCATTAGCGTGCGCGCACGAGCGCGTGCACAGACACAACATGTACAAAATGGTGGCTTTCTCTAAACGGCTTGGCTTGCGAGGAACAAATTATCGTTTTTTTCCTGGGAAACGAGTACCGGGACCTAACGATTTTTTTTGTTTATTTAGTCTGAATGCAGAGGTCACCTTCTTTCTATACAGTGAAAATCAACCAATTTCTATCGCAGAGTGAAAAGTTGTCAAGGAAAATGAGAGCATAGTTCAAATATAAAAGTTTCTGAAGGCAGATAATTTCAGGAATTATAGGGTTTGTTGAAGGTCCTGCTGCTCCTAAACGAATACGGGGATACCCATTTTTTATTTCAAATTTTAAATTCTTTTGATATAGGCAGCCAACAGTAAAGTTTGAAAGGAAATCTATTTTGAGTTCTATATCGATGGAATTACCTTAAAAAAAATCTCTCCGTAAACTTTGAAATCCCGCGAGAGGAGAGAAAATTCTAATGTTCATTTATTTCATTACAAAAAATTCTTTGGGGATTTTTTTAAGTCAAAAGTATTGTTTTAGCCTGGGGGGAGGGGGGGGGGTCCTTTTTTTTCCCTAAATCAAATACCGGCCATTCGAAGTACGAAATTTATCAATTTACAGTCATAAAAGTTGAACTATAATCTAATCGCAGTTTTAGTCCCTCCACAAATGTTCTTCCCCGTATTGTCGAATATTTTAAAAAACAAGGGTTTTGAAACAAAAGAGGCCACCTGGTGTGGAAACCAATCATTTTTGTCAAGTTCTGTTGAGGAGACAGCAAAATGTCATTGACTTTTGGCATTATCCTTTGACGGTTACCAACTGAACAAATATCTGTAAAAAAAAAAATCATATATATAACTAATTTCTGATCGCCACGAAATAATTAAGAATTCAAAATTCTTTGCAATGTCGACGTGATGGATCTCAACAACGGAACGAACACGACCCAAGAACTGTTCTGCTACGGAACACAAGCAAGCATCTTAGTTGTCAACCCAAAGATTTTGATGGCATTGATGGTTGTTAACACCTTTATCTCCATAACGGCTACGATTGGAAATTTGTTGGTTCTCGTGACAATATGGCGAAGTCCAAATTTGCACTCTCCTTCGAACACATTGCTGTTCGGCCTGGCTTTGTCTGATCTGTGTGTTGGGATAGTATCTGAGCCACTGCACGTTGGATTTCAAGCTGTACTTTTCAATGATTCTAGCAAAATTACCTCCTGTACACTTACGAAAGTACGGAATTTAATATCTGTCTTTCTAACAGTAGTCACCCTGTTAACTGTAACAGCAATGAGCGTTGATCGCTATCTAGCGATATATCTGCACCTGAGATATGAACAAGTGGTCACAGAAAAGAAAACAAGGAAAGTCCTTTTAAGCATTTGGTTGATAAGCAGCCTGCCCTTAGTCATAATGGCTTTTGATGCTGTGACTAGTTATTTAGTTATGACACTTACAATAACAGTTTGCCTTGCAATTATTTCGTTCGTTTCGATCAAGATTTATGAAGTTGTACGACATCACCGAGCTCAGGTTCAAGATCAGATGGCTGTTGCTTCGAAATCATTTAACATGGCGAGATTCAGAAATTCTGCCATAAACACTATGCTCGTGTTAATCATCGTTCTTGTGTGCTATACTCCATTACTGGTTTCTAACATTTGTCTCGCTGCAAACTTGATACCTTTAAATGTTGTCTTGCTCGAGATCTGTTATATATTTGTGCTGCTAAATTCGTCGCTTAATCCATTCCTGTATTTTTGGCGTCAGCGTGATCTTCGTGCACAAGCTAAACCATTTGTGATGAGGGTTTGCTGTCAAACACAGTAACAATGAGAGCTCTGAGGACATGATTGATCATCGCAGTAATATACCCAACTTAAGCAGTTGTGATAATAACGCGAGGTTAAGTCTGCATACGAGCTAAGTGGCCCACCAGGCCGGAGCTTATCTCGGTTTCTGTAGTTTCTGTAGTTTCTGTGATATTAAAGCCTGGCAAAAAAAAANTTCCTTCTTCCCCTGCAGTTGATTTTCCCGAAACTGTAGAGTCAGGCAGTGTGCACGACAGATGCTGCTGTTACGTTTATATAACGTGGAATTTTTTTTAACTTCAAAAAAAAAAAAAAAAAAAATAGGCACATAGTTCATTAAGGTAACATATCTTCATTTACAAAGGACGTTGTTCTATTTATAATAGATGGTAAAAACAGATAAAACATTGGTGATTAAGGTGACTACAAAACCTTCTGATGAGATGAGGTGGACTGTTATTATGTAGGAATCAAAGTTTAAATGATGGGGGGGGTACAGTAGACAATATAGTAAGGATCTTGCGCTCACTCTGATTGGTTCTAAAAGAGTTGCGTTTTACCCTTGGACGTACAAGGAAACTCATACCCCCACCGTGGTACAAGAAGGAAGTGTAGTTAGGATTCCCATCTTAATTACATATCTAAAATTATTTTGCGTTTAATAAATTGCCCTTAACTTGCTCTACAAGAATGACACTGTTTTTTTTTTTCATTACGTCTTTAGTCCGCCATCTTGGATTTACAACTTTTTCTTAGAAGCTATACGTTCTATTACAAGCAGTAATTTTCAAGAATTCAAGCAAAACTACCGCACGAATCTTGATGATCTGTCTATCTAGGGGCATTAACCTGTTTACTGTAACAGCAATGGGCATTGATCGCTATCTAGTGATATATCTGCTATGATACTACGATATAAACAAGTGGTCACGGAAGAGCAAACAAGGGTAGTCATTTTATGTGTCTGGTTGATAGGCAGCCTGCCCTTGGTCATAGGGCCTTAATTTCCTTCTGAGACTAGCTTTATATTTTTGTGCTTATAAATGCTTCGCTAAATCCCTTCGTGTATTTTTGGCGTCAGCGTGATCTTTGTGCGTAAGCCAAACAACTTGCGATTAGGTATTGCTGTCAAACGCAATAGCAATTAGAACTCTATTCGAAAGAGGATATTGTTCCATTGATAATAAATGGTTAAAACAATAAAACCTAAGTAAACGTTGCTTTGTTATTACAGTGAAGGAGAGCAAAACCTCCTCTGATGATATGAGATTCTTGTCACATAGAAATCAAAGTTTAAATGATGGAAGTTACAGTCCACAATACAGTATGGATCCTGCGTACTCTCTGATTGGTTCCATGACGGGATTCCTGAGTTTCTGAAATAGCTGTCCACTGCTGACTTTGCGCTAATGAATAGCGAAAAGGCAGGAGGGGGTCTAATTTTAAAATCCAAGCTAACTTAACCGCGGGGTGAAAATAATTTCATGCTTATTGACAAGAAACATCTTTGGAAATACCTCTGGTATCTAACAAACACGGACCTGACAGCTCTCTCTGTATTCAATGGCTGCTTGCTCGTTGTAAATTTCCTGCAACTAAACACGTAGGGGCCAAACCACCCCCAAAATGTTTCGTCAGTTCTTGGGTATTTCACATTATTTCTCATTACTTAAAAAGTATTGACTCTTTCTACACCAAACTTGGCAGATGAGCAGGAGACCTATTGCCAATTATTTTTACGTGAAAAATGCCAGTAAATGTCAAAGTTGTGACGTCACAGTGATGACGTCATGTTTTTTGCCACTTTTGAAGTTTTTAATATGCATATTTTTTACAGTGTTCGAAAGAGTACATCAAGAGGAGTTGAACCCTGAAAAAATTTTGTCCATATCACAAAAATTAAATGAAATATGGCATTTCTAAATATGAAAAATAACTCTGAAAAAATATGGGGTCCCCCCATTGAGAAAAATCCCCAAATCGGAGCAGTAATTTTGTTCCAGCAAATGCAGCTATGTTGCACATGTGATGCGCCAGATGACTAAAGCAAAATAAAGAAGAAAATCGGGATAAAAAATTATCCCTCTAGTGTTATTGCGTTAAAATTAGTTTTGTTACGTCATAA